AATTTAAAATACACAAACGATGTGTTAAACATTGCATATAAAATACGTTACATTACAGCTCGGCATCACACATTATCTCGTTTTCCCTTGTACACAACGATCCGTATTCGCTCGAAAAACATCAAAGAATTGCACAAACTCTGTGTCCATGTACATATCCATCTATTTTCACCTTAAAAATGTCAGAGAATTGCACAAACTCGTCATTGCGCAATACGTTTGCTCTGCCCATGAACACAGCGATCTATTTTCACTTAAAAAGGTCAGACAATTGCACGAATTCGGCATTGCGCACTACCTTGCCTTTGCCCATGTATATAGCGATCTCTTTTCACTTAAAAATCAGACATTGAATAAACTCTGCATTGCTCGTATACTAAGAAATCTGCTTTCACTTAAAAGAAATTGGAGAATTGCAGAAACTCGCGCCTAAGCAACTCCATTGATTCGCGTTGTAAAAAAAATGTTTCTAGAAAAATTGAGCTTACTACAGGCGAACCAAGACCCTAGCCTAATAGATTTCTCAGCCCTACACATCTTGCATCTCCAAATACTACCATTCGATGACTTTTTCTGACTAACTAACCAGCATGCTATCTTACATTTTTCACAACAAACGTTAATCCTTCAATAATCGACAATCCATCAAAAATACTCTAAAAAGTTCATATTCTCTTGTTAATTCATACATAAAATATCTGTTTCCAAAATTTTACGCTTGTTTGGAAACTCCCACCTTAAATTTGCCTTTATAATCTCCTGATACTTAATTACAACATCACTAACAGCAGTTTTAGAACAAGCAATAACTAAACGCAAAAATATCACCTCCAAAGTAGCCAAAAAAATATATACAAAATAGTATTCACGGTATCTGAGCATTAAACAATCGCCAACAACAGTCTTACGATTTGTGTATTTAGATATTAATTTTAGTTGAATTCTAATTTAAAATATTGTATTTACCCCTGGAAAGCAGCATGAGACAAATTTTAAGAGAAATCTATACCGGAAAAGTAAGAATACAGGGCACATGCATTAAACTTTGAGTAAACGGATATTTCGGTAATTTGTATTGGAATTGAATAAATGTAACTGACTACTATATTAGCTGTAATCGTAATTCCATCCTCTTGTTTACATTACGTTTGGCGATTAGTATGGGTTACCAGATCATATCATTTATCGCCGCTCTTGGCGATATTTTTTTGTTTAAAATTCCGGGTGGGCTATATTGAAGCTGTGCCCTAAGTTTTAATCATTCCTCACCTTCTACTTCTATTTTTAAAAATTCCAATAACTCGCTTAACAATCATCAGGATTTTTAGTCGAAGCCTTTTTAGTTACCCGATGTCTTTCCCAGATCTTAAAAATGTTTTGAGGAATAGCTGACTCAACTAACGGGAAACGAATCACTGCATATTTTTCTTTAGTTACGCCTAAAGATTCTTAAGCACGTAACTGTGTTTCTAGTTTGTCATAGAGTTGCGAAATTGGAATATTTTCCCTTTTAGTAGAATTAGAGACAATAATTCACGAACATAGAATTCTATTAAAAATTCTTCCTTCCCATATCTGGATTTTAAAAGCTCTATAGCTTTCTCATAATTTTCCTTTGGCGGTGGGAAACCTTCGATTAATTTTTGCGCTGATGACCCTGGTTTCATACTGAATCTCAAATATTCAGATTTATCTTCATCTGATAAAGAATGATCATTATGAATTTTGGTAAACTGTCCCCAGTAACCAATACAGTTTCTTAAATCTCCATCAAATTTCCTTAATTCTATCTTAGGTAATTTTATCTGAGTTTTGAACCCAGTCTGAGATACAGCTTCAACATCTAAGAGTACTGTTTCAGTAAAAATTGTTTCTTTAATTTTAAGAAATCTTAATTCGTAATCAACGCATTTCGCCATTTCCCTTCCACGTTATCTTCTGTCACATTTTTTATCTTTCAGAAGTTCTTCTAAATGAGTGGAATTTAGAGCATTAATCCTTTCATATTTTATTTTTAATGCTTCAAACCTTGCTTTCAGTTCTATTTTATCCCCTCTACTGGAGATAAGTTCTTCTACACTATTTACTTTAACTGTGATCAACCGCGCCAAAGAACCCGTCATTCAGTCGTATCCATAATCTTAATGCACAGTTTTGAATCAGAAATGAAACTTAACACCGTAGTTTAATTTATGAGTGACTTTTATTTAAAAGTCTCAAAATGTCGCCAAAATGTAGTGAAATGGCCCTGATAAAATAAAAATCCACTTCGCCGGGTTAACGCTACGGTGTTTATTTTTACGCAATGAATACGAAAACGTAGTTAGAAACGTAGTTGAGCCTCCTATCCTAGAGGTGCCTTACCCTTAATAGTATAGCTGTTTTATTACGGAGCTAGGCATGCTGCTTTTGAAGGAGAATCTTGGTTGCTTGACTTATCTGACTGATCTGACAATAACCATGGCTTAATTTCTAAAATTAGAAGTACCGAAGCCCTATGGAAAACCTTCAGCAAAGGGGAACAAAAGTAAATAAATAAATAAAATGACTATTAAAATTATTAATAATTTAAATTAAATAGTTAATTATCATCAAATAATTATTAATTATTTAATCAATATTAATAATTAATATTTATCGATTATTATTTAATTAATAAAAACTTAATGCTTAATATTTATTTAAATAATTCAAGATAAGTAATTAAACAATTAAAATTAATAAAATGTAAAGAGATAAACTAAAAATCAATAAGCGATTTTTAATATAATTTTATTGCAAAAAATAAAATTTTCGAGATCAAATTTTTCCTGAACCTGTTGTTCACTTACATAAAAGAAGTACCGAAGCCGGGCTCCGACGCAATTTAAGCTCTGACAATAACTATAGATATCTATGACAATTACATCAGAACAAAGCCACGATATTCATGGTGGCAAGGAGTGCAAGATTGCGCCCTGTAGTTGGCAAGAGCTTAGAGCACCATACAGGTGACAGTAAGAGTTTACTCATCATTTTGCTTCAAAATTGCTTCATCAGTTTTGATGCAGAGTACCCCGGGGAATGAGCCTGAGGGTCTTTCACTCCCTTACCACTAACCTCTCGAGAGGAGTTTCTGTTTTCTGTATTTTGTATTTAGAGTGCGTCCATGTCGTCCCAAACCAGGGTTTAATTTCTAAGATTAGAAGTGCCGGAGCCCTATGGAAGACCTTCAGCAAAGAGGAACAAGAGTAAATAAATAAATAAAATGACTATTAAACTCATTAATAATTTTAAAATTAAATAGTTAATTATTATCAATTAATTAATAGCTACTTAATTAATGGTTATAAATTGTTATTTAATCAATGATTATTATATAATTAATTAATTATAATTGATAATTATTAGGTAATTATTATTATTTATTGAAATAATTAAAGAATGAAGTATTAAATAAAATGTAAAGATATAAATTGAAATTTAATGAGCGATTTTTAATATAATTTTATTGTTAAAATAAAATTTTCGAGATAAATTTCTACTGAAATAACAATTTCTTTTATGTAACTGAATAACAATTCAGTTACATAAAAGAAGTGCCGCAGCCCTCTTATTTAGGGCTCCGGTGCGTTCTGACTAAAATTATGATTTATTAAAACTAAGAAGCACCGGAGCCAAGATCAGTTGGGCTCCGGTCCAATTTAAGTTCTGATGGTAGGGGGGAGTTCTTTTATCATCGCAAAAATTAAGTATACTTAAAGTAGAGCTGATAGAAATTCCAGGGCGAAACAGAATGAGAGTATGAGCGGGTGGAAACAAAAAATGAGGGAATCTTGGTGAGAGAGAACGTTCTCTTTGACCGCGGCTCTCTGCTGATATAATTATAGCCATCAAGCAGATGTGTGTCAGGGTTAAAATGAATCCTTAATGTGACTCCTAAAAAATGCTGGTTACGCTTTCCCCTCCCATTAGTGGAAACATTGGGAAGACGATGTATAGGACGTGCTTGAGCAGTTTATCTCAGTAAACATTCTCATTGTACTCGCTGTCACTTAACGCAATACACTAGATACGATGGCATTGGCGAGAGATTTACGCGTTCCTAAACAAACTCCCCTAAATTTATTGCCCTTCTTAAAGGGAAAGGTTTCTGCATGTGAGTGAGGGGACTTTACTTGAACGCCTCGTGTTCTCATGAGTTCGTATTTCTAGGGAAATAGAGTATTGCAAGGTCTGCTTATTGTTAAGCTAAAACGTTAGGAATTCTAATTTTTTTCCCTTTAAATTCAGTTTTATAAAAAGAAGTACCAGAGCTCATCTTATTTAGGGCTCCGGTGCGTTCTGACTAAAATTTTGATTTATTAAAACTAAGAAGCACCGGAGCCGAGATCAGTTGGGCTCCGGTCCAATTTAAGTTCTGATGGTAGGGGGGGGGCTCTGGCTATAATTGTAATTTATCTTAAAAATTGAGAAGTACCGAAGCCGGGCTCCTGTGGGCTCCGGCGTAATTTAAGCACTGGCCCAAACACTATAAATTTACAAATATCCATGCATTTTTCGAGATTCAAACCCGGGGCTTTCGGTACGGCAGTCAGCGCCGCTTACCACTATCCTGCTTGAGCAGCTGAAAGAGAATCTTAAGTATCGTAAGTTTTACCAGGTGACAAAACAAATGGCGCAGAAAACTTTATGTTACGTCTTTACTCTTCTAACGCAGGGAAGCTACTATCACAGCAGGGATTACAGCCAATACGTTTTAGGAACATGCGACGGGAATTGCGTTTCATGAACCTTGCTCATTTTGAGCTAGTAGGAGAGAGCACCTTTATCCACGAGACGGAAGACAGAATGATCATCCAATACCATTAGAGACCAATCAGAAGTACTTGTCTAAATTCAGCAAATATGTCAAAGTTTTAACTGCTTTAATATAGAAAACAGAACTATTTACTTTCATGTCCGGTTTTAAATTTTGTTCCCCCTATAATGGTCGGTTATTTTCATTGTAGAAAGGTAAAGAAGTGAAGTAAATTTGTGTTTTGAACTGCGCGCATGTTTCTGTAGGTGATTGGAGCAAAGGAACCACTTAATGTTCCACATAAATAGCCTTAATTTGATAACTTTAAAATAAAATCATTAAATAAACTGCATTTATTTGCACATCTTTATGTTACGTGTATTGCTTTTAGAAAAATCCATTGGCGGTTACATCGTGGTAAATATTAACCTTTTCTGTAAAACAGTTATTAAATAATTGAAGATGTGCTTGTGTTTGCTCTTTTATGAAAATTTCAAAAAGCAGTGAAATTTCTTCATGAGCATCTCTAAAATCTGTGCAATAATTTATAAAGCTTGCCTGTATTTAATTAAAGAAAGTATTTACGTTTTAAAAATGTCTATCCTTGCCTAGTACCTGTTGTAAAAAGAATTTATACCGACTATTTGTGTAAAATCACTTCTTAATTTATATGATTAGCTGACAGATTTTTAGAGTTAACCGGGAAAAACAAGAAATATCGTGCTGGTATTGAGTCTATCAGAATGGAATGTGACAAATATTGGATACATTAGTTCCATTTTTCAAAGTGTACATCGTAATTTGGTTTCCAGGAGCAAAATTAATTTTAACTATTTAGGGCTTAATTTGGTAACATTGTGATAGTTTGGTATCTGGCTATTATGGGTTCTGCTTGTTTGATGTGTAGTCATATTTCTTTTGGATATTCAAGTAGCATATTTACTTAAAAGGTATGCTTTCTTTTTAGAAGTTATTATTTTTTTTTTTTTCTATGCTGTTTCATCTCTAGAGGAATTCTCAGATAAAAAATCAACATTTTCAGTTATATATTTTTTTGGGGGGGGATTTGTTTACTTTTGTCTGAAAAGAAAACGATTTGAATTCTTATTAAAAAAAAAAAAAAAAAAACTGCTATTGTTCTGAATGAATATTTTGCTTGTTTATGCCTGAATTTATAATTTTAGGAACCTTCATTAAATATTGATTAGTGTGTATCTCTTAATCATTGCATCTGAAGAAGCTAAAATATGTCTTTTGGAACACCGTTTGGAACTCAGACTACTGCTGCTCCTACATTTGGATCTTCTACTGGTAAGAAATTATTTATTTTCTAATATTGATTTTTTTTTTTAATTTTGCATCATCATATATGTTTTTTTTTAATAGCGGTAAGTATGAAAAAGTTTACAATATGCTTTAATTTTTTTTCTGTTGTATAGGTTATATATCAGTTTCTGTATGAAATAAGATATTTTTCATGTCTTCATTTAACATTTGGTGGAAATATAATGGTTAAAAAAAAAAAAAAAGCAAGCTTTTAAAGCTACAAAAGTGCGATTGGTAACAGTATATTTACGGGTACCCCTTATCGAAAATTGGCAATTTTTGGCGGTACATGGATATTTGCAATTTTTGACTTGCTATTTTGGCTTTGTGTAGTGCCGATTTTTGGCGATAAGATTGCCGATACACAAAGCCAAAATATAAAGTCAAAAGAATTGCACAAACTCGGTATCCATGTACACATTAACCTATTTTCATTAAAAAAAATCACATAATTGCACAAACTAAACATTGTGCACTCTCTTTATCCGTGTAGACGTCGACCTATTTTCACTTGAAAAAAAATCGGGGAATTGCACAAACTTTGCATCGTTCACTCCCTTGACTTTATCCATGTACAGATCGATATATTTTCATGTAAAAAGTCAAAGGAGCACCCATTTCTACAGTAGAGGCAAACAAAAAGTACATAATATCAATAAAACATGTTATGCATCTAAGCCCTATACAAAGCAAATGTCTACTTACCTTATTTAGAAATTTTTTCATCTTCAGTCTGCGGCACACAAAATTCCGTAACAGCATCCGAAAACTTCTAAAATTATCTGAAATTGAATCCGTATATTGGCGTTGCCACATAAATTCACAGTTCCGGACTGTCCGGAAAATGGCTACTAAGTAAATCTGCATTTACACACCAGTCAATTAATGTTCTTTTCCCTTTCCGTTCCAAATCTTACAAAAACGTCAAATTAATCATACTACATTCAGCCATTCTACCGTCTAAACAACAAAACAAGCAATGTATTTCCTATCCAACACACTGCACAAGCCGTTACAAACATCCCATAATTTAAAATGTACCGCAATGCAACCGATTACATCATAATAGGGTTTCCATAACATTGAACTACTCAGGTTACCATAAATGAAACAACAACTTCGGGATAATACAAGGGGTACACTTCAGTCTACTCTAACCATCCGATTATTATTATTTTTTTTAATAAAAAACAAAAACAGATAATTTGTTTTGGGTAGAACATTTTGTTTAAAAAAACATTAGAAAGTACTGGATTGGCATTAGTCATTAATTAAACAAGATAAATCTTTGTGAATGTGAAAAGCTTCAGAAAATCCAATTCACCAAAGGAAGAAGCTTTTTTTTTGGGGGGGGGATAGTTTTTGAACACCCGAAGTCAAAATTTCTGATTAAATTTCTAACAATGATGAGTTATCAGAAAGTTGTTAATTTTGCCTTTTCAGACATAAGGTTCATTTCCCTTGGTGCAAAATTTTAACGCTCATTTAGTTTGATATATTTCCAACCAACAAGATATGCTATAAATTCCCCAAGAATTAAGGTCGGAAATGTAATCTAATAATCGAACCATGGAATTTTGATAGGCGACAAAATAAGTTGAAAATTGAACTTTGGGAGAATCCGTGCACTTTTGTACAGATTCTTGCGAAGGATGTCGGACAGTAGAGCAAAATGGAAGCAAGAAAAGGTTATTAATATTTCTAACAGCGGAATATCTTCTAATTGAAAAAGAAACTATTTTTTGCTTAGCCAATTGACATGACATTGCATGGGGAGGGAAAAAAAAAGGTTTATGGTAAACTATAATGCTTAAATCAGATTCATTGCAGATTACAAGAATATCAAGGAAAGGGAGGAGATTGTCAGATTCAGTTTGAAAAGTGAACTAGATGGAAATCTGATTTATAGCAGATAAAATCAGGGATAAAGCTTCTTTATTACCATCTAAAAGCATGAAAGTATCGTCTACATAGCAAATCCAGAGATAAAAAGATGGTTTCTAGAGTAATTTGACCTCAAAATTTTGCATTTGAGCAAATACAGGGCAAGGAGATTACATATAGCTAATTGTTCAATTTGGTAGAAATATGGGGAAAAAAGGGAGTTTGACTCAAAGAGGTTTCAGTAAAAGAAAATAAGTCTTTAATTTCAGTATATGTGAAATGCAATTCTCGAAGCCTCTTTTCCAAACATTTTAGTGCTCCTTTGATTGGAACGTTAGTATATAGTGGGTTGACATCAAAAGAAACCATAATGTTGTACACAGGGAACCTTTAAGTATATTGAAAACTCCAAAAGAATTTTTTTTAGTGTGAATATTGTTGGAAAGTGAAGGAGAAAATGTGGAAACTAAATATTTGGCCAAAGTACAAGGGCGAAGTCAAATGAAAGTGAGCCAATGCGAATATATGACAAACAGAGTACTTTATTTAAAGGTAGTCTTCATGAACATTGAGACATTTATCCCATTGACAAATGAGCCGCGTGATCCCCGTCTCATAAAACTCCTTGGGCTGTCGATTCAAAAAGTCTGTAACCGACTCCTTCACGGCGGTGTCCGACACGAATCTGGTACCCTTGAGATGTTTTTTCAGTTTCCCGAAAATGTGAAAGTCGCATGGCGACAAATCTGGGCTGTATGGAGGATGTTGCAGCGTGTCTCACTTAAACTTTGCCAGTTGTGTCTTAACCACATCAGCGACGTGGGGACGAGCATTGTCGTGTAGCAAGATTACACCATTCGTCAATCTTCCAGGTCGTTTGTTCTTGATTGCGACACACAGCCGATCCAGCGTTGCACAATACCGCGAACTATTGATGGTCTCTCCACGTTTAGCAAATTCAATCAGTAATGGCCCCTGACGATCGAAAAAAAAAAGTCAATAGCACCTTTCCCGAGGAAATGACAGCCTTTGCTTTCTTCGGGGGGGGGGGGGGAATTCAAATGTTTCCACTGTAAGCTTTGCCGGCATGTTTCAGGTTCGTAGTGGTGGCACCATGATTCGTCTCCGGTCACAATTGCAGACAAGAAGTCTTCACCCTCATTGTGATACCGGATGAGATGAGTCAAAGCAGCGCCGAACCTCTCCGTCTTCTGGCGGTCGTTCAAAATCTTGGGCATCCATTGAGCACACAAAAGCCGATAAGCGAGATGATCATGAATTATGGTGAACCGAACCGTGACTGATGTTCACACGCTCTGCCAGTTCATCGATGCTTATCCTCCGTTCTTGTCTAATCAGCTCATCAACCTGTGCAATTGTGTCGGGGGTGATTGCTTTGGCCCGGTCTTGGATCGTCTTTGCAACTTTCACGTCCTTCTCTGAACCGTTTCCTCCAACGCTTCACAGTGGCCAATACGATGCAATGTTCACTGTACACAGCAATGATACGGCGACTAAATTCATGTTGGGAAACACCTTCAGCTGTCATAAACCTGACCACACCACGCTTATCGCTAAAGCATAATTTCATCTTGTTGGTTGTTCAAACGTAATTTTCTATGATGAATGATGCCTTTTCTTTGAAAATATTCTCGGTAAAGTGCAGAATCACTCATGTATTTGTTTGCCGCTTTTTACAAGAGTAAAAACAATTGAATTTTTGTCAATTTTCTTTTACTTTTTAAGTGAAAATAGGTCGATGTGTACATAGATAAAGTCAAGGGTGTGTGCAGTGCCATTTTTGTGCAATTCTAGGATTTTTTTTAAGTGAAAATAAGTCGATGTGCACATGGATACTGAGTTTGTGCAATTCTTAAAAACGCATCAAGCGGTGGGTGATTCTGGACTTTACCCAAAATTCTATTGCCGACTTTTCGTCATGGGCAATTCCCAAATTGTTAAATCCATAGGATATCAAAAAAGGATTTAAAAATTAAAGTAGTATGTCAATGGCGTCTTAAGAAATATAGAACTATTTAAGCTTACATAATCCGAAATCAACATGTCCGCTAGATTTGGCGTGCTGTTAAATGGGCGCGTTTGCTAGATTTGGTGCTTTTGCGCATACATTTTCGCTGCAATTTTTTTACGGCCCTCAAAACCAAATAGTACCGATTTATCTTGTTCAGCTAATGACTTTAATTACAATCCAGTCCTTCTTAATGCTTTTTAAGTTCTATTAACTTAATTTTTCAATTTTCATTACTATTTTTGACTACTGATGGTGCTATCATCTTGTTCCCTTTATTCCTTTCAGATATAAATACCACCATGGGTACCTCATTCTAGGTTTCTTTGTTACTCTTGAAAAGGATCCGGTACCTGTTCACTCTCGAAATTTTATAGAGCCTACATTAAAGATCTATGCCAAATGCAAAATTGTTGCTTTGTTAGTTTTACTTTGGCATGATTATTTTCCATTTTCATTTGTCAGTTATTTAAAAAAAAATATTGTACCATAAAATATGTATTCACAGTGATTTTAGACTGCAATTTCAAGTATTATCTTTTTTTTTTCTTTCAAAACTACAAAAATATTTTCTTGTTACTTTAAGAAAGTTCTGTCAAATGTGAAATATGGTCTATCATTCATTTTTTGAAAGTAGGAAGCTTTTTACCATTGAAGCATTTACTGTCGAATTCACAAAATTCATGCACCGTGATGTATGTTTTGGTGAAAGCAGATGATAATTTTTAATGATGAAAAGCATAGTAGCAGACCATCTGTCATGAAAAATAATTTGGTGATAACTATTTAACTAAAAATTTGGGTACTTTTCTGTTTTGCCGGCACAAATCTCGCCAAGCAGACTTTATTGGTGACAACACACAGTATACACATAAAAAATGTTAACAAATGTTAGGTCTGAGAAATTTTTATTTTGAAGGCATAAACATTTTAATATCATTTAAAATTTTGTAAAAAGACAATAAATAAAGACGATAAATTTGCAAAAAGAAATTAATTTAAGAATTTACTATGCTTTCATGGTAGAACATTCTGACTTGCCATTTCATATCACGTGATCCCAAGTGATCTC